TGAGGTTGTCATTCATGTGTACACCCAAGTACTTGTAGCTGGAGACCACTTCCACCGCAGATCCTCTTATGTTCAGGGGGGTGTAGGTGTTTTTGTTCCTTCTGAAGTCCACAATCATCTCCTTTGTCTTCTTCACATTGATGTGAAGGTTATTCTCTCTGCACCAGCTCTCCAGGTGTTCCACCTCTTGCCTGTAGCTGGACTCATCATTGTTTGTGATGCATCCCACCACCGCTGTATCATCTGCAAACTTTACAATGTGACAGCCTGGATGGGTAGCTGCACAATCATACGTGAGCAGAGTAAACAGGAGGGGACTCAACACACATCCCTGAGGAGAGCCAGTGCTGAGGGTTATGGTGGAGGAGGAGAGGTTGTGGATCCTCACTAACTGTGGTCTGTTTGTTAAAAAGTCTAGTACCCAGTTGCAGATGGAGGGGCTTAGTCCTAGTGTGGATAGTTTGTCCATCAGGGTTTGGGGGATCATGGTGTTGAAGGCGGATGTGAAGTCCACAAAGAACATACGGACGTAAGAGTTTTTCTGCTCCAGGTGGTTGAGCGCAGTGTGGACCAGAGAGGAGATTGCATCCTCTGTTCACATTTATGAATTAAAAATTTGGCAAAAAGAATTAGCACATTTATTATTAAAAAAAAACAAACATTTAGCATCCTTCCTGGGGAATCTAAAAAAACAAACTAAAACATTTCCCAACGTAAGGAAAAATTCCTTATGGTTATTAATAAACCTGCTAAACTCCGTCCAAAACCTGTGTGTGAAAGGGCAGTGCCTAAAAAGGTGTGTCACAGTTTCTGGAAGGTCACCACAAAAACTGCAATCAATATTTATATCTCTTTTAAATTTTATCATATAATGTTTGGCGGGGTAAATTTTATGGAGAATCTTAAATAAAACTTCCTTCACCTTATTTATAATTAAGTATTTATGGGGAGTCATCCAGACTGTCTTCCAGGTGATATCTGGGATATAACGGCTCCAATAAGATGTTAGTTTGCCCTCAGAAGTTGTTTTAAGGTTTATGTTTTCTGTCATTGTACATCAGTTTTAATTTTGATGTATTTTTATTTATTTTTTTTATTAACCTTTATTTAACCAGGCAAATCCCATTGAGATCACAGATCTCTTTTGCAAGAGAGGCCTGAGCCTGAAGGCATCCCAACATGCATGTTTTGGTCTGTGGGAGGAAACAGGAGTACCTGGAGAAAACCCACACAATCATGAGAAGAACATGCAAACTCCACACAGAAAGACCCCAGGTCTGACCGGGGATTGAACCCAGGACCTTCTTGCTGTGAGGCAACAATGCTAACCACTGAGCTGTTGTGCTGCCATCATTTATGAATATAAATTATTTTAAAAAGTAGTCAAACGTAAAACAAGATTTGTAAGTGCACGATAAGATCCACTAGTGTACCATAAGATTTACAAACGCATAAAACATTTTTTTAAATGTGCAAATTTCAAATTACACAAGTGGGATTGTGGTGTGCATAGAAATTGTCAAGTACATGTGCACAAATCACCTGTTGTCCACGGATCAGCTGTGCGTGTGACTTTTGAGACTTTCTTACCACTCCAGATTGACAAATGAAATGTTGCGTTCATGGCTGGTAAAAAAACATCTGGACATCTGAACCTCACAAGATTTACAGTTATGTGGAAAAGACACTCATTGGCATTACTGAATGCCAAAAAAAATTAATTTTATGGAAATAAGCAACCTAAACACACACACACACAATTATGTACTTTTTACTTTTTACTTTTTTTATTGCAGTACTATACAAAGTCAGGGAATTATTAAATGATAAAGCTCTGTACATGTTGTATAACACAATCATTGTTCCACATTTAATCTATTGCATTGATGTTTGGGGGAAAGTGTGTAAAACATTTACAAAACCTATTTTTATTTTACAGAAAAGAGCTGTAAGAATTATCACCAGAAAGCATTACAGTCACCCATCAAGTACATTATTTTATCAACTGAAGTTATTGAAGTTCCATGATTTGGTAGATTACAGTATTTTATCAGTTATGTATAGGGCTCAAAATAACACATTACCATTAAATATCCAAAGAAATGTTGTTAAAAGACAAAGTTGTTATAATCTTAAGGGGATAGAGATATTTGTCAAACCAAAATTCAGAACTAGTCTGAAGGGAAGGTCTACCTCAATCCAAGGAGTTGGATTGTGGAATGGTCTAGAGAGTGATGTGAAAAATGCCAAGTCAATGTGTACATTTAAGAAAAAGATCAAAGCTGAATTGTTAAAAAAGTATATATGAAGTAGCTTAGTGTGTGTTTTGTATTAGAATTAGAAAAATTAGAAAGTTATTCATTTTGTTCTGTTACTTGAAAATTAATATGTCTGAAATAATTGTTTGAAAAAAGGGGCAGATAAAATAAGATTTTTTCTTCTTTCTGCTGCCTTTCATTTTAAATCTTTTTGTATCTTTTTTATATATTGTTATGGAATTGTTTTGTACTTTTTTAAAATGAATAAACTTCATACCATACCATGTACAGTAGTCCCTCGTTACTTCACGCTACTTCCAAGTGGACCAACACAGACTCAAGGTAGATGTCCTTAAAGTTCTGTCTGTCCCCAAAAAAATCATGTTTATCTGAATTGGGCTCCCTGACTGACCTTGACAGGTCATCTTATTTTAATTCGCCTGGAAGTTTTGTAAACCTGATGCTCTTTATTCATTTTTCACCACTTTTTAAATGAGTCTTTGAGGCTCAGTGTGACTTACCTGTTTAAATAAAGGTTGAATTGAATAGTATTTTGTCATGATGACAGGTGCGGCACTGCCTCACCTGCCTCCCTGACCGCACGTCACTGGGTTTGTTGATTGTGGACATGCTCTATCGCGGTTTTTCAAAATAAGATTGGACATGACACACAATTGGCTGATTGATGTATGAGTCACACGATCGGCATGGAATTTTTATGTAAATAAATAATTTTACATTATTTAGTACCTGCTGAACATTTGTGCAGCCCAGAGCTGCAGAAAAGGCTTCCTCCTGCAGCTTTGTGCAGCTCATACAGCAGGATAAACTTCCTGCTGCAGCTGATCAGCTGCTCTCTGTGCAGAGCGGGAAAGTGGGCGTGGCCAACCGCGCTTGCAGGAGGCAAAGAGCAGAGGAGGCAGGGAGCTGAAATCATGACATTTTGTGCTCTTTTAGAGCGTTTAGAGTTTAGAAACTTTGTTTAGAATATTGCAAGAATGTGTGATGGGTTTAAAATGCCTTTATATATACATATAAATAATAAAATAAACCACTTACTACTTGTATTACTATTCCTA